CTCCATCTGTACAACAAAAATACCCACATTGAGCCACCCTTGGTGTTATTTGTCAAGAAAATAGCTGCTACTGATGACCATCTACTTAATTTGGTTGATTCCACGGAGGCAGACTGCTAATGCAGCCCCCAAATCATAAACTGATCATAAAATAGTTTACTTAGTGGATATTTATAGACACATGCTCCAATTTTCCTAATGGTTACTGTGGCATAGGATAGCAAGTGCATCATAAAATTTAGGTACTTGCTTTTTTGATGTGAGAGACCTTATATGAACTTTGAGAATAAAACTGAGGGATCAACTAAGTAAAACAGTAAAAATCCTTCTGTGATTTATAAAATTTCATTCCCTATGAATGTCACTTAATCCAGTTTTGCTGTCTAACTGTAAGGTGGGCCTAAATATAGTTACTGAGTCTTTTCATAATGTTAATCCTAGAAAATTAACCAATTACCACAAGCAGTCAGTAATAGTGATAATAAAACTTAAACTTTTAAATTTTATTTAAAATTTAAAGATGTTTCTGATGGGAAATTTGTTGTTAATTTTGGAAATGAGGAAGAGGGAAATATTTTTTTCAAAACTGAGATGTCACCAAAAACTAAGACTTTGGAGCAAATTCTGAAGAAAGCTTCCGGGTTCTGGGGGTCCTCCTCTGGAGAGGGATTCTTATGTTTAGGACTTAGAATCTTTTTTATTCATGGTAGGGAGTATTATTGGTTGTTGCATGGACAATTCAGGTAGGTTTTACTGTTCTTTACCTTCCTGATAATCACTAAGGCATTGCTGAAACAGCGTTCCCCTGTAATTTATGTGAAGTGCTCTATCTGACATTTGGACTTTGACACATGTTCCAGGATAATGTATGTGTATTCATCGCAGTGCGTATCTACAGAAAATAGTGGCTATGACAATTAGTTTTAAATCGCTGGATGATCTCTCACAGTTAGCAATGAAAATTTTGATGGCCAATAGAAACTGCTCATTGGTATTCCCCCCACCCCCAGGCTGCACTCAGGGCACTTGCCATAACTTCTGTGCCTTAGGTATACCTCTGTTAACTCCTGCCAAGTTATTGCTCATATAATATACAGTCCTCCTGTACAGCACAAAGTGCTAGACTAACAGTGTCACAAGCAGTCTTCAAATAGACCAACTATATAGATGGCTAACCTGAACAAGGCCATTTTGTGCTTGCAGAAGTCCACCCAGGTCCATGTCCCAGCATCCTCTCCAAGGCTTTTTCCTACCCTCGTGTTTGTATTCAACTCCTTCCAGGTTCTGCTCATTTCCTGTTTCCCCCAACAGTATGGCCGAAAATATTTTATATGGTGGCTGGGACTATTCAGAGCACTGAGGTGATACAAGGGAACTCATCAACCTCCTTAGCTTACCACATGACCACGTCACCCTTTAGTTAAATACACAAGTAACTTGTCCACGAAATCTGTGCTTTAATTTATATTTAATTTTAGTTGACTCCCTTGGCTCCCTCTCAACTGAGCGTCACCAAATCCACCTTGACTTTAGGGCAGTGATGATTTTTTTTTCCTTGTTAATAAATTCTAATACAGTAAAACCTGTGAAAGCTGGAATCTGTGTAAGGCAGAAACCTGTCAGAAGGAAAACTCAAATATTTTCCACTAACAGAAAGAGAGAAAGTGGTAAGACTGCACCCTGTCAAAGGTGGAAAACTTGTGAGACCCGGAAAAACAAGGCAGTCCCATCAAGTTCTGGCTCTCACAGGTTTCACTGTATAATCTAAAATACTCTGCTTGGCTTAAATGCTAGATATGTGGATTCAGGCTGGGGGTAATGATGTAATACAGTATTTTATGCAGATAACTCGAAGGTTCTACTTTTTTTCTCAGCTGTAGCAGGGGAGTCCTCCTCCCCAGGTATTTTTGTAATCACTCTATGCTAATTTTTTTTACAATAACATGAAAAAATATAATTAGCCTAGTACACTTCTGAAAATACCTCGAGGGGGGAGGGTGCAGTTGGCAAAAAAATAAAAAAACGTAGGACACATGTTATTTGTAAAAATACAGTCACTCATTATCTTACGATTTTGCTATGATCTTTTAGAATATTTCCGATTAGAACATTTTATTTGAATGACTAAGAATTTAGGGTTAGATATTTCTGCAGTGGGGAAAAGGCAATCAGTATAAAGGAAAGAGGAATTTTACCTTGAAATAAGTGAAAAATAGCACAAATCACTAATTCACCATTTGTTATGATGCCACCAAACCTAGAAGTCTGGTATCATTTATGTATTTTTTGCCTCTAGAGTCATAGAGAAAGTTTTAATTTATTTTATCAGTCAGTGCAAAAGACCAGTTACGGCAACATAATGATACCTGTGTTATCTTAATAGAATGTTTTTAAGCGGGCAAATTAACTTATTTTACATAAAGTAAGTTCTTTCAACACTTGTCTAATATTCTTTGATGGTCTTTAAAAACTCCTGATTATAATTTTTAAAAATCATCCCTTGGAGATGTTACTCATGGGAACTAAGAGCAGATGTCATGAAAATCTCTGGCCTGTACTCACTCCTAAACAAATAACCACTCAAAACAAAATAAACCTTCCAAGTTGTTGCTGTTTTCACCACTTTTAAATGATGTGATCTCAATTGTATTGCATGCTTCCTTGACTTTTTAAATAATACACAGTGAAAATAATTTGACTTTTCTGAGGCCTACATGCCTAGCTGGAGCCCTGGTGGCTCAATGGTTAAGTACTCGGCTGCTAGGGAGAGTTTAAGTGGTTCGAACCCACCAGCGGCTCCACAGGAGAAAAGACCTGGCCATCTGCTCCTATAAAGATTATAGCCTAGGAATCTTTATTCTATGGGACAGTTCTACTCTGTCCTGTAGGGTCGCTGTGAGTCGAAGGCATGCAACAACAACATGCCTGTCACTATGCATTATGTATAGAAGGCATCTGCTGTGTTGTCAACATTGTTTCCTTTTCAGTGTGGTGTAATACAGCATCGTCTCAGGACACCGCTGAAGTTTGAAGGTCTGTTTGCACCTATACTAACAATCCCAGACGTTTGTCTTTTTATAATGGGTAGTTATTCTGTCTGCTTCTTCACCATCTTACTCCACTGCTTAGGGAGGAGTGATATGAACCACTTCTTCCTCACTTCAATTTTTTTTTTTTTTGGTCAATTCTCAGTTAAGGGCAGAGCTGAAGACAGCCAGAGGGAATGAGATGACTAGCTTGTTACATCATCAACCTCATTTTTTACAGAGATTCCTCTGTAGACTCTGGCCTGCAGTGCCTCAGGCACTTGCTGCTCATCTGGGAGCTGGTGCTTCTGTGTTTTGTGCAGGTATTTTTCCATGCACATTGTGAGCTTTCATCTTTCCTTCTCCCTCAAAACTCCTGACTCCAGCTTCAAAAGTATGTTTCCCCACAGCACAGGCAAGTTATTTAATCTCTCTGCCTCAGGGTCCTCATCTGTAAAATGGAAATGTGAGTAGTGTCTACCTCATAAGGTTGTGGTGAGGATTAACTTGAGTTACTCTTCATAAAGTTCTTGGTACAGACCCCAGAAAACCAGTTACCGTCCAGTTGATTCCAACTCATGGCAACCCCATGTGTTGCAGAGTAGAACCGCATTCCATAGGGTTTTCATGGCTGTGATCTTTTGGAAGCAGATCACCAGACCTTTCTTCTGAAGTGCCTCTGGGTGGATTTGAACTGTCAACTTTTTGGTTAGTAGCCGAGAACTTAACATTTGTGCCACCCAGGGAGTCCTTGGTACATTTAAAAAAAAAGAAAGAAAGAAAAACCTGTTGCCATCGAATCAATTCCTACTCATGTGTTACAGAGTAGCACTGCTCCATAGGGTTTTCTGGGCTGTAATTTTTACAGAAGCAGATCACCAGGCCTTTCTTCTGCAGTGCCACTGGGTAGGATCGAACTGCCAATCTTTAGGTTAGTAGATGAGCACAAACTGTGCCACCTGGGGACCTTCTCTTGGTACATACTTACCCATTGCTGTCGAGTCAATTCTGACTCACAGTGACCCTATAAGACAGAGTAGGACTGCCCAGTAGGGTTTCCAAAGAGTGGCTGGTGGATTCGAGCTACCTACCTTTTGGTTAGCAGCCAAGCTCTTAACCACTGCACCACCAGGGCTCCTGGTACATAATAAAGGTTAAATAATTTTTTAAAAGGAGTAGGGTGTATCTGACCCATTGGATAAGTGTCTCTTTAAGCTTCTTGAAGAAAAAGGAAAAATCCAAGAAGATGCTTCTTCCAATAGAGGGAATTTATATCTGAAGGAGCAGAAGTGAAAGGTATTACCTAAATGGCTAAAGAAAATGCTGGCAACGAGCCTAGATCCTGACTAGATGAAGTAATATATGGCAAGGTGTTCATAGCAATTCCTTTGGGGCTGTTCATAGTAGATTTTAAAAGGAGACAAGAGAAATAAACTGGAAATATATGGGCATGGAGGGAATTGGGGGCAAAGCTTATGCCAAGAGTTAGCAGCTATCTTCTGTATTTAATAAAGACTAAACAAAATGATTCTCAAAGAGGATATATATTTTTACTTTTTTTTTTTTTTAAACACCTGTCTGACTTGCGTCTTTTTCTCAGTTCCTTCCGTGAAGAAGGGCGTTGACCACCTGCTTTGTTAAAGAAAGCAGGCGCCACCTTTGTGTGTGCAAGGCAGGGGGCCTGTGCTGACCATCCCAGTGCATGGAATTTCTTCGTTTTTGTCTCGATGTTTCTTTGGAGCCAGGGGGACAGAAGACGTACTGTGTCCTTGGCTTGTATTCTGCCTGACTGGACATGGGTGGCATCAGTGCTGGCCCTGGCTTCCCCAGCGTGGGGCTTGGTTGCCCATTCTGGCCAATAACTGCCCTTTGCCCCGGCTCCCTTGGCCCGAGGCAGCTCAGGTGTAATTTGCTCTCAGACTGTGAGGTGCAGCCCTGTTAAACTGCAGCATATGTTTATCTTGTAATTCACAGACAAGAAAAAGGGAGGCAAATTCCAGCCTTTTAAGAAGTTATTTGGCAAAAGGAAAAAGAAAGGCACTTCATTGTCCCCTGAGGAATCCGTGGGAAAGAAGAGTTACTCCCCCCAGAGTGTCAGCAATGGGACCTTCTCTTCGGATGAGGAAACCCTGGAGGACAATCTAAGGTAATAACTTACACTTTCTTTCCAGATCTTTAGTGGAGTCCCCGGGTGGGGCGTGGGATCCCAAAGGTGGGAGGTTCTGTTTTTGGTTTCCGCTGGCAGGAGCAGAATCACAAATGTGTTGCATCTCTAAAAGGTAGAAGATCTGGGGCTCGTTAGGGGCAATTGGTGCATTTTGTGTGGAGGGTCACCTTGGGAGTTAATAGGAGTCTGACTTCGTTTTCCGGAAGTGCACAGGGATCCAGGGACTCATTTCCCTGCCCTCCATGGTGGCAGAAGGCAGCAACTGACTGGTTTGGCTCCACAAGTTTCCTTGGATTGAAGACTGCTTCCCCATGTCCCATTGCTTGGCAAAGAGGAAAGGCAGTCATAGACTAGCGTTTACAGCCTGTGTTAAGGAAGCAGAGTGCTGAAGCACAGGGTGGTGTCCCTTCACTGGTATGAAAATTCCTAGGGCCAAGTTCATACCCCGGCCATATCTGGCAACTTCTGGAACCTGTCTGCAATCTGTCTGCAGTGGAGCTTTTAAAATGGGCCTCTTGTTTCCTATGCTTTTTCTTCCTTTCTCTTTTTTCCCTCTTAGAGCATAGGCACTAAATCTGGCTCTGCTTGTCAACAACTCAGAAAAGCAGGGTCAGGAGGTACCTGAGTGCTGGGAATTGAAATCTGGGTCAGAGATGCTTAAGCTTTTATACTGACAGCTTAAAAATCAGCTCCTCTGAGCCGCCTTTTCCGGCTACTGCATCTGATTTCTTTGCCCTTGCCTGTGTTCCGTAGTGCTGTGTGAGGGACTTGTCACTTTCTTTGGAAATTAGTGATTTACTTGTCTGTCTCTTTCACTAAACTGTCAGTTCCATGAAGTCAGGGGCCAGGTTTCGTTCGGCTTGGTATTAGGTGCTCAAAAAATGTTCCCTATGAATAAGTAGCACTGTATAAGTTATCTTCATACATGTTAAAAGAAGAGATGACACAATCTGTGATATCCCTGCTGTGTTTCTTGGACAAAGCCGAGAACATCCCCTGCTGTGTGTGTCAGGAAGTAAATTCTAATAGATGTCACTGGTGTGCCACAATTAGAAAACCCTCAGGCCAGCAGTACACACTAAGCTTCACAGTGCTCACTGAGAGCTATTTGTTAGTCCTAACTAATACTGACCCTTTTCTAGACAGGCTTGTATTTGTTTCCCATTGTCTTTACCCTTTAGGGTAAGAGAGCGATCAGATTTAACCGAAGGGAAGGATTTAACTGAAAGGAGAACACAGCTAGCATTGAACAAACCAGTTGTTGCAATGTCGGTACTAACATATAGTTGCATGTTGTCCAGTATGAATCAGTTTTGATTTCACTTCAGTTTCTTCAGTTGTAAAGTAGGAATATGAATGGTATCAGAATGAGGTGCAGCTACTAAAAAGTGACCAAGTAGCGGTTTAATCCACCACTCATCTCTCAGTTTGTCATGGTGGCTTGCATATTGCTGTGATGCTGGAAGCTATGCCACC